ACCGGAGTCTATGAGCCGGTTACAACTGAACTGTAGGGGACAGAAAATCAAGATAATCGCAATGGATTTGTGATAAAGAAATGTATGAATCAAATGACTGTCAATTCAAACAGCCCACTAGAAATAATGAAGAAATAAAGTGTTTGTTTGTGTGTGTGTGTGTGAGCGTATGTGTCAATACATTCTGGTGGTCAGTCTTCTCAAACCATGCCGAAATTATAAAAAAGCATGCAAATTCCTATGCTTATTCAATCCTGAAACACAGAGAGGAGCAATTACAGATACCCGAACACGTCGGAATAAAAATATCGAAGGTAATGCAAAAATACCATGATTTTAGCTGCGGCATAAAAAGTCTATCACAAATCTCAGCTTTAAAGCTTTTATGATAGCTAGTTAAGACACTATTGTACAGCACCCCGACAAGGTTAGACTGTATTGGCTCTCTGATAACACCATTATCAGCCTCAAAGTTGGGCAAAGTTCCGTCATACAGTAACTATTTAGCACTTCATCACGTTTTATTCTATTAGGTGAGGATGCAAACGTTCCAAGATAAACATGAATCATTGCAAATTCCGAAGAATTTTTCAAAATTGATTTATGAATTAAATTCGACACTGAATAGGTGTTATAAGCGGAAAATAGTAACGATAAAGATGAAGTAAAGATGGACGGAACTCTTCAAAATGCTTAATTTTACAGCTCAATAGCAACAATTCAATCTGAACCTGGGCCCTCTCAACCAATTAGTTGAAATCTTAACTTATTTAAGTAAATCTAGTTTTCCCATTTCCCTGAGCACAGATCTTACTGGTCCGAAGAATAAAAATTTAAGGCTTGAACAAAAGGGATCGTATGCTCGCTTGGCTGGCAATATAAAGCAAATTCATTTTTCAAGACCTCTTAGGACCATGATAAAACTGGGCTTAAAAATGAGGTCACTCTAGGTTGTTTAAAGTGATTAAAGGACTGTTAATTAAGTTTTTACCACAATAAGTTAAGTAGCCCTTACCTAAAGTGACATATGGAGACTAGTTCTGATTCAAGGGTTTTTGACAATATCTGAAGCTACTCATATTGAAATTAAGTAAAGTCGTCAAATGCAGTGACACATTTACTTAATCTACAATTCCGTTTTAAAATATGAGTTGTGAGAAGCCCGGAATTTTCTCTATGACTTTCTGGTATCTGTGGCTGTAGTGAAGTGGTAAGCATCCGAAAGAAACTCACAACCCTGTGACAAATTCCTCTGAGGGTGCTAATGAACAAGGCAGAAACTGCAATTCATTCTGGATTAGACAACATTTAGGAAGGCAAGTCTGGGTGAAATTCAATTGCATCCTGAGGCCGACTTATTTCGCTGTGGGGAAAACTCATATATCAATCTTCAAATCACCTTAAGCATCCCAAAGTGACTGAGTTCTTATTCAAGCATCACTGATAGCCTCGAAAACCTATCGCATCGAAAGTAGAACAAATGTATCGGGTTAGCTATTTTCGCCTAAATCGGATTCGGAACTGTCATTTTTCATATGACTTTATTTCTCTTCCTCAATCATGCACCCTGATCAGTCCCTTTCGAAGATGATTATTTTGGTATTTACTAAAGCGTGGTGAACAAGTTACTCAAATTAATCAAATACGGACATATCGGAAAAATGTCTTTCTTACCGAGCTTCGATAGCCTGTTTGATCTTAGTATTAAACTGCGAAGCTGGGGAAAGGGACCACCGACATGCATCAGGCGCTCGAATTGGTTGTCTGAGAGATCAATTAGAAGAAGCTTCTCAGTGGAACTTGAGTCCAAGTCCAACTGGGTCAAATGGTTATTCTTAATAGAAAAAAGAACACAAGGAAATATAAGTGGATAATATTGGGTGTCGCTCTCTTTTTCACGTGAGTGGTAAAAGTTTAGCAAAAAGTACAACGAATGTCCAGCCTACGGGGAGTGGTGAAAACTAGGAAAAGTTTAGAAGCTCACTAGGAGTACAAAAATAATGCATATCCACCTCATAGCTAGTTTGGCCGCATGCAAATAGCTTTCGCAGAAGTTTTCATAATCTGACGGTAATAGAATGCATTAGATGTAGATTTATTATTTTGAAGTTCATATCGTCCCTGTGATCCATTGGCATCAATAAGGCGAGGCCGAGACAATATTGCAGCCTGGATGAGAATACCTTTTGGGAAACAGGGCTATGTGAAATTCAATGAAATCGGGGGCCTACTCTTATCATCGTGAGATAATTCAATTATCAGTCATTTAATACCTTATGCGACTTAAGGTAAATGCAGCACTTATTTAAAATTTACGGGTAGTTTCGAAACTACACATTCTGAAGATCTTTTGTAATTAATCTGAGTTATGGCTGGTATTGAAAACTCCGACTTAAACGCGAACAGGTAATGACGCACACTCAGACTCACTCAAGTACAAGTACTCTGATTGATATGAAAGTTACCAAACAGATAATTCTATATGCATTTATTTCTGTTTATTTTTCCAGTGCTTATTTAACTGGCGTTCTGAGTTATTCAGCGTGTAGGGATAAGCCGAATAATTTCCTTTCCGTAGTGGTGACTTTATGCTTTTGCCAGTTCCGGCTCCTGAAGTTGTTTATCATGTAACGAATGAACGCTCTGCCGTTCTAAACCGAAATGAGGGACGATGTCTCGTAGACTGTACCGAACCCGAATGACGTTGATGAGTCAAACGACTGCATAACAACGGGAATCTGTTGTCGAATCTCTTCAGTATACAACTTCTGGCTAAGAGTGGTGACTGTAGATTTGTGTTAATAAGTACTTTGTGCAACGCTTTACGGTGCCGATGGATCCCACTGAGCTTTCGTCTGTCATGTAACTGACATTATCTGATCAGCGCAATATTTTACAATAATTCACCAAAACACGAAAGCAAGAAAGGCGACCGGCTGAAATCCTATCTACTTCTTATAGCCTAAGTCAGTCCACATCAAGTGAGACATATCATAATCTAGTTGGTTGCCTTATGCCTATTTTTTGTTCATAAGTAGGTTGTCGAGACTACCAGTAAATCAGATATATGAGATGTGTTCACCCTATTTCGTTTAAACTGATAAAGGACTGGTAGTTGAATTTTTCCACAATTATATGAATAGACCTTACGTTTCCATTGAATTTCACGTAGCTTTTCTTACCAAAGGGTATTCTTATTAAGTCAAAAGGGGGCTGAAGTTTTGACCTCGTCTCAACTCGTCTCATCAGCACCCCCAGCGGGATTCGAAGCATGACAGTGCAGCGTATAATTTCAATAAATGAACTACTTCACCAGGCTGCTACGAATGCTCATGTGTCAGAGGGCAGGTGTGAATTTTAAGAAAGACCAAAAATTTTCACATAACAAATTCCGTGGTGGGATTGACGATGAAGCAAAGTTGTGTTTGCGATAGCAATCGCCTACATGCCAAGATTATAGGCTGCACTGTCAAGGTTCGAATTCCGCTGGGGGTGTTGATAAAAACTAGGCGAGATCGAAACTGCAGTTGACCCGTGTCTGGACAAGAATATCTTTTGGGAAAGCAAAGTTATGTGGAATTCAATGAAAACATAAAGCCTACTCATACCATTGTGGTAGAATTTAACTATTAGGCCGTTATCACCGTAAACCAAATAGGGTAAATACATTTCATATAACTGATTTACCGGAAGTCTCGAAAACCTACTTACATACGGAAAATAACTAACGCAGTCGATTGTTATAGCAAATATACGTTTGCTT